AGCAACCTGACATAGTCATGCTTAGCGTGCGTGTTACGCAACTATTATTTCTGCAACAGCTGCTCTCCAACATATCACTGTAGAACGGTTCTAAGATCTTTGGGTCAGATGGGTAAGCCACAGGAATTTTGCATTACTCCCGAGCATATCCTTTTACCTAGCTGACCATTTCGAATTGCGCCAAGGGGGCCAAGAACATCGGGCTTGGGGACGGGCCTCCGAATAATGAGTCGCACAAGCAGATTCTTTCCTAGCCCCTCTACCCAGAGGCTTGAATCCCAGCCACACGCAAGGTTCTATTTCATTCTTCCGCAGGTTGTTTTGTGCTCTGCTCTTTGCTCCTCTATCCTCCGCTCTTCTTGCTGCTCTTTTTGTGTGCTCTCCTTCCTCTTCTGTCCCTTTTCTTCATGCCTCTTCTCCTTTATACAGCTGTTTCCACGCTCTTCGTGCCTCTCTTCTCTTCGCCGTTCTCCTCGCTCTTCGCGCTTTCATTTCTCCCTGCTCTTCTCGCCTTCTTTCCACTTTGTGTCTCCCCACTCTTTTCCGGTCGGCTCACGAATAGCTAGCGTTGGCTTCAGCCTCGCTGAAATTTTGTAATGGATCAAACCTGCTCCGAGATGGCATGTGCCATTGATGTATTCCACCAGTCCTGACCTGGATTCCGGCATCCCGTCAACGATGAATGACGTTTGCAGACGTGAGAACACTGGTTCAACAGGATGGCGCACTGGGCAGACAAGAGCCTGTGCCTCTCACAGTTGAACAAGGGATAGACCTCTTGCCCCAGGAAGACTTGTCCATGGACGTACTGTCTGCAAAGTCTCTCTGCTGCAAGTGGCATCTTCGAGTATCACATAGGTGTGTCTTTTTGAGGGTACTCTTTTTGATTGGGTTTAATGGGATCTTCAGATTGATTCCTGCTTTGACAGTGCAAGGGCAAATCTTCTGGAAGCGGAGAAGGCGGAGACTCAGGCTGGTCATGCTAAGCTGCGATTGGCAATGCGCTGGCACGCCTGTGTTGCGGTCGACTAGCCAAGAAGTCACAACTCACACAACATGTATTTTCCGCGTGAAGCCACCTGCACCTGTTTATAGTTAAGCTACCCCTTACGAACACCTCACTTACCCAGCTTTGATTGTATCTGGAGTCTGGCCGTCATGGTTTACCCTACAAGGCTCAAGAAGGGCTACTTGGGAGTTGCTCACCACTCCCATCCAAGTATTCCTTCCTTCCCCTTCCCAGAATCCCCAAGGGCTCCATTCTGAGTGCGCCCCAAAGTAGACTGAACGCAAGGGTGCTTTCTGAAAAAAGATCGGGTTTCCCAGATGAGTTGACGATCTGGTCAACATGTTCGAACTTGATGGGCCTTACACCTATTCACGAACAAGTTAAAGAAGATGTCTAGTTCAACGGGTAAGGTTCTAGCCTACCGTGTTGCATGGAAGTGGCTCCATGAGAGGGTGGCTTGCAGCTCAGTGAGTGCAGTTGAATCAGCCTGAGCGGCTAGGTGAAGCTGGATCTGGCTGAACGTCATGCGAAGAACGTCGAATTAGCGCCCTGGCAACTCCAAAGTTCGGGGGCCACATGGCCATGGGCTTTTCAAAACCCAAATCGTACCCACAAAGAACATCAAACAAATCAACACTAAAAAGGGTTCCAAAGATGGGTGGTGAATTCACCTACCCCATTTTTTGGGATCCCAAAACGGTTTTGACAACCACAGCCACATCTCTTGCTTCGCCTTACACACCTTTGACCAGTTGCAATTGGATAATTTGATTTTATGTCAGAGGAAGCGAGGATCGCCGGAGGTTTTCGCGTTGAAACTGAGGAGCTGCTTAGCCTGAGGAGACGTTTGGAGCAGGCCGGCTGGCGACAAGTGTTCGCGCATGACCAGATTGAAGAGAGTGTGAGCCATAATGTTGGGCTAAAGAGATATGGGTGTGGCTCAAAATTTAAGAGCTGGCTTTGGCAAACCGCAGGTTTTAGGCTTTGCTTCCATTTACCAAGGGGGTCATTCTAGTACATGTTTTGAGCCACAGCCACATCACTTCTGGCATGCGGAGCTCTTTGCACTGACTGAAATTACTCTGCGCCGCTAGAGTACCGTCAGCGCAACAACGCAACCAGCCTTTTATTTTTAACGAACAAAACACTGTCGACTTTTGGCAAAGGAGGCCATCTTGGCCGCGCTTTTTCTGCAACACAAACTGCATGAGGCCTCTGCTTTTCACGCATCATGCCAAAGTGCAAACTGCCCACTTAGGCACAAGAAGACCGTGTAAGAGCATTTCATGAGCTTGCCAGTATCAGGCGGACGCGGGACTTCCGCGCAAGGCGGGGCTGGGTACTTGTCTTTTCATTGCCCAGTTACACGAACACTACAAGCTCCTGTCAAGCTGTCTCACATAGGCAAGCACACTGCAGTTTTTTGATTGGATGTTCTCCAGAGCCTACCTGTTGCTCACTTCCGGCTCGACCAGTCAAACAGCACGTCACGTGATATTCAGCATTCTGCTTGTATGCAGGAGCGTGTCGTGCTCTCCGATGCTGACTGCTCTCTGGACCTCTCGGAAACCGAGTTTTTGCACGGCGAAATCGCCCGGGCCGCAGCTCTTTTTTTTCTTCGCGAGGGGTGAGCTGGCCAATGGCATGGCCAGGTCCAAAGAGAGATGGAGATCGCACGGCTTGAAAGCGGCTTGACTGCATGCTAGATGTCTCTACTGCTATAACCTTTAGACTTTAACTTTTTGGATTCCCCTCATATCTTCTTTTGACAAGGAAAAACACCAGCAAAACAATAATATTTTTGCTGGGGATCTACAGCACCCAAGATGTGTGGCCGTGTTTTTTTTGACAAGCCAGGTGACCTATTGCGATGACATGTGGCAAGGTCTCATCTGAATCCTCCCAGAAACAACATCTCAGCTGCTCAAGGGGTTTTGTTGATTCACGTTGGAGCCATTCTGCGGTTTGAGTGCCCTATGAGAACACAGCGCTGGTTTCTTTGTTGACATAATGAAGGGTGGCTTGCTGTCCAGATAATCTGAAGACTCGCAAAAGGTGCAATGGTCTTTTAGTTTGAATCCCATCTCTTGTTGGGTGGGGGGATTCCAATTTGTAGGCTGAGCTGTCAACCACCGCCCAGAACACTGGTATGGTCATACTAAGGTCAGCTGGGGATGTGCCGTGCTTCCAACCAGCTGATTGCCAGACGGCTCCACATGCAGAATCATCTCAACCACATGTTGCATGATACGCCGCTTGGCTGATGCGAGGGCATGGAAATCATGGAAGAAGTCCATGGCCTGCGCCCAGGCTTATGGAAGGTCTGGAAGCTGACGTGGCGACCTGAGAAGTGGCATGGAGCAGTGAGCTGCTTTCAAGGGCGTCATTTTGTAGGCCGAAGGCAAAGCAGACGAAGCAGCCAAATGTAGTGAGATAATTCGCCAACGAAAGGGACTCTTGAGGCTTATGATGCTACCTCCGGAGGGTTTGTATGTTGATATTTAGCACAAGAGAGACAGCCCACCAAGCACAGCAGCTGAGATACAACACACCATGCGGCACACAACCAAACAGGAACTAGTGGCAGATGGGCAATGGGCAAGCGAAAGAGCTGAAAGGGAGGAGTTTATACCTACCTACCCACAAACTGACAGAGAGCGGACTTTTATTTCTCCTGGAGCCCGACGACCAGATTTGCTCGCGTTTTTTGCGCGAATGAAGCGCCTAGCCCATGCTTGACCTGAGGAGAGCGTTGACCTGGCCACCAAGAAGAGCCGCTTGGAGCAACTCTCTTGTCAAGTCGCTTCGGCTTGGCAACATCTTTTCCATGAGGGGTCCCCATATTTCCCTTTGTGGTGGTTTTAAACACATCACCTTTTTGGCCCATGAAAGCTGAGTGTCCCTTGGTGGGGGTGATGTTTCAAGGGGAAATATAGGGAGCCCTGTTTCCATGAGGCTGTTGAAGTACGTGGCCAAGTCTTCTGTGAGCGGAGCAGTTTCTTCTGCCTGCTTCCTGGCGACAGGTCAGGACATGCACAGGCCCTCGCCGCATGTATTTTTATGAGCGCGCGGGGTGCAATGCTCCTTTGCGATGTCGGCAATACCATGTAGGGTATTTTATCATCCGATCATCTAGATATGGGATCTTGCCAATATCCGCAAGCGAATCACGTTTGTCATGAAACCGAAAGGACCTTACTTCGCTTGCGTTTGTTGGCTACGTGACTGTGTTCAGGTGCTGCTGAAAGCAGTGGTGAACGGTATCTGTCACTGTGCGCATGCATTTCAGCGCTCCTTCAATAATGTTCCTATGCGTTGGTGCTGCCGTTGCATCCAGCTGCCGTTGCATCCAGCAACACGTCTGGAGCTTCCTTGAAGTCACTCCTTTATTTAGAGATAGAATATGAACGAACTGCTGATTCGGTGATGGCAGTTGGGCCAGCATACTTGGAAGATTTCAGGTCTTTCCACCAGCTGGACATAGATGCCAAAGAATGGCCAGTGCATCTGATTCAAGCAGGCCACAGCAACAGCCAATGAATCCCCACTGATAGCTAAATACAACCATCAGCCCCTCAGAGGACCGAACAAGTGAGTGGGGCACGGGGGGTGGGCACAACCCCATCCATGTATTTCTTAGGGCTAATCTTGTCAGTGCCACGTTGCTTGATCGGACTTGCAGATTGATCGCTGCAAGAGACAGTTTCATTTCGAGTCGGCTGTGAGAGCAAATGGAGGCTGCTTGCGGGCCTTGGTCAGTTGGCGCACATTGAGCGATGCTTGGGAAGTACGTAGCGCGTGCTCGCGTGGTTCTTTATGTCAAACGTGCACATTCCAGCGTCTCAGCTTGTGGATGGCCCATTCTTTTTTGATTTGTGAGCATAGGTGTCCTTTTTAGGTTAGTTGGGCTAAAACTAGATGGCACTGGTTTAGGTGGATTTTATCCCATTTGCTAGGGGAGCCCATTTGTGAGGTGCTTCGTTTGGGACAGGCCCGCTGCTTGGCTCCGGCGCTGCGGCAGCGGAAAGACGTGGTGGGCGCTGCAGAGACCGGGAGCTCCGGATCTTTCTTTCAGATTTCACCGCACTTGCTAGGCAGCCTGTCTTCGGGGCCGGTCGCCAGCAACGTGTGTAGCAACAGATTAACGACTGCTTGACTCTCAGCTCGCTGTAGCTTTTGACCCGAGTTCAATACTTTGGCAGACAGTCAACACGAGCTAGATGTTTTTGAGGTTGGTGCTTGTGCCAGCCTGCCTGCAGGAGCGGGAAAACCCTGGCTTTTGGTTTGCCAATCCTTCATCACACGCTCAGTGCATGCCCCAGCCGGTCGGCTCCCGCAGGCCATGTGAAACCACGCATGACTCGTGTCTCATGATCCGAGCGCTGCACAGAAGCAGGCGAGCGTGTGGCTCAAAATGAAACAGAACGGGCAAACCACACGTTTTGGTCCATGTTTCCACTTTCCAGGATTCCATTTTGGTACCGGTTTTTTGAGCCACAGCCAAATAGCCGGCAGTGGATGGTCGGCGTTGCTACAGAAGGGCTGTTTGCAACCATGGCGTCACTCGGCCGAGGCTCGCTCCCTTCAGCAGACACGTCTGGGCCTCGAAACGGATCCAGTGATAGCTCTGCATCGTGTTTCGACAAGGTCTTGTTCGCTTTTTCTCGGTTCGACTCCAAAGATGGTGGCGTCATCAGTGAAGCCGCCTGTGCCCGATTTTTTTTCTGTCCCCCCCCCCCCCCCCAAATGGTGTGTTTTGTGGGCTACAGCTTGGCATTCATGTCGCTTCAGCTCGCAAGATGCAATCCTTCTCTCTTTGATTGCGATATGATTTGTTGAATCGTTCCATCGCTGCGGATCTCATGAATGCCATTCTATCGAAAACCATATGTTTCATTTGCACTCGTGCTATAGATCCTCACTTTGGGGACATGCAACGGGTGCGATTTTTTTGGTTGTTGCGGGAATCGGTGCCAGCCCGCTGCTTGCTGCTTGGATTGCTGCTGAGGCCAGCTGCAGAAGATGGGCCGAGAGGCTCCATGTTCCGTCCGTTTTCCATCCGTTCTCCACCCACTTTCCATCCGTGTTCCATCAAATTTCCATCGGTCTTCCATCCACGTCTCCATCACTCTCCAATAATTTTCCATGATCTGGTCTTGGTTGCTTCCAGAGGGAATCTGTGGCCTCGCCAGCATTGGTGCTGCTGCCCACTCGCGAACTGGCAGTCCAGGCAGGGACGTTGCGAGGTGGGAGTCTGGCGAGAAGCTTTGGGTCCTGAGTTTGGTATCAGCCTCGCGCGGAAAAAGCCAAAAAACAAACACTAAAAGCAAAAACACCACTTAGAACCTTCTTGAACATGGCTGCCTTGCCCGGAGATCAAGCCAACTGAGTCCAAAGCAGACGATCAGTGGCAGCACTGTAACCTACCCGAAGCAAAGCGCAGAAAGCCATCATATCATATCTGTGACCGGACGTGACCTGCGACCTGTTGCAGCACAGACTCTGTTGAAATGTGTTACTGTCTTGTCGCAAGGCGGCCAAGGCTGGGCTGCAAGCAAAGCCTGGTAGACTCCTGGTAGACTGAGCAAAAACAGAAGAGCCACAACAGCACAGGCCTCAAGCTGAACATTGAGAAAGGAAGGCCTTGCATCCAGCTGCACGCGCTGTACCGTTGTTTCGTGCGATGGCGTGGAATCGCTTCCAGTGGCAGGCGGGCGTAGCTGTGACAGGGCAGGCAGAAGGCCGGCAAGTGCCGAGGCCGATAGCCCGAGCGCAAGCTCGGCGGTCCGCGCTGCCTCTGAATGCAGGCCTTGGCTGGAAGCTACTGTCCACACGTGGCTGTGGCACCAAAAAACCGGAATTCCAAAATGGGTTGCCCGATCGGTAAGTGGAAACATGGACCAAAATTCCTGCGGTTTGCCCCTCCGATCGTTTAATCTTGAGCCACACTGGCTTGGCGAGATTCATTCTGCAGGGGCCGGTTGGATTCTTGGGTTGCTCCAATGCTATTCCACGACCATTGGGGGGGATTCCATTTTAGCTCAAAGGTGTCCACTTGCTGACTGTTGCGACATTTGCGATCCAGTCCTGCAGAGTGGTAACCAAGTTTGCCCCTTGGGTTTCCTTGCCTCACTTTGTTGGACCGCAAGGACGGAGCACATTTGTACAGCGACTGCTCGGTGCATGTGGGGGGTCCTCAAAGATTCCTCCTACTGACGATTCACACATTTGTTTTTTTTTGCCAGGCGCGAGCCACAGCGCCGTGTGTGGATGGGCGCAGCACTAGCAGCAGCCAGGCGCAATGGGGTTTGGTCTTGTACAGGTTGCCTTTTGCCAGTAGCGAAGCCTTCAAGATTTTGAAGGGAGCGAATTCTGCAGAGACATCCACATGTATTGCATTGATTTGCGTGTTTTTTCCCCTTCTTTTTTTTCTTCTGAGGAAGTTCATCGAGGTGCCGAAGACCGGGCCTGAGAGGCAGGCACGGCGCTTCTTTTTGAGTGGCCGACATATGCTCAAAAGATGTAGCAACTTCTCGTGCCTCACAGCATGGGCGTCTTTCAGCGACCGGGGGCATATTTGATGATTTGTTTCGCGCCGTGGATTGTCTGCAGGCCTGGATGGCCGTTACTTTCCCCCAGAAGAAGCGGTTGTGTCATCACAAGCAAATTCGCAGTGTCGGTGTTTCTTGCTTGCTAAAACAGGATCTCGAATTGGCAATGCAGCACAACTTTATCATTTCACTTCGCGGCCACGCTTGCACTGTGGAGAGGTGTTAAGGGGCATTGGGGGGGTGCTCCGTGGAAGGCAAGAAGCGGCCGCCGTCGACCAACAAGGCAGAGCTGGGGACAAGTTACAGAACTCTGGGTCTTCGAGCTTCAAGCAAACTCACATGTTGAGGTAAGACGAGGTAAGACCGTCCAGACATTGTAGGTGATTCCTCAGCCTCAGCTGTGTAGCAGCCGTACCGTGCTATGCCCATGGAAGCCCCGTGAAGAAAACACCCCAAGCATCGTAGTGGCAGGCCACGAGGCTTCGAGCTCGCGCAGGCGCGAAGCGTCCGGTGGGTTCGCGCGAGGCGTTTTTTTGGCAGATGGGAAGTGCCTGGCTTGAGCTCTCTGCCACTGAAGAAGCTGCTGGCAACCGCATGCTGACTTTGTTTTGGGGAAACCCAGTGGCCCTTGAATGAGTAACGCACAAGGTCAGAGGTAAGTTTCACTGTCACTTGGCGTCTCTGTTCTCTTTGCCTTAGCCCTGCAGGAGCTGGTGCGAGCCTTCCTGGCAGGCGCGCGCAGACAGGGCGGCTTCGAGGCTTTGAGGCTATAGGGAGCTGCCCGGGCGACGCAGAATCTGGATCCGGGAACTCGGCCAGCCAGGATTGGAGATGGAGCTGGGGCACCTCAGGCCGGCGGATTCGAATCAAGTTGGTCGTTGGCACGGCATCGTGCCAGGCAGCTGGGATGATAGCCAGTGGCGAAACCACTGGGAGCTCAAGTCAGACTGGACGGATTGGAGAGGCGCAACATGCGAGATGCCCCCCACCCCCCCTGCCAGATGCGCAAAGAGCCTCCAACAAGCTCGTCTCAACTCCATGTGACCTTTGCACGTGGCACGACGTTAGCTCCAGGCCGCGAATCCTGGGGCGAATGGCGCGATGTCAAACCGCAAGAAGCTCAAAGGACCAAACGGACTCTTGAGTGATGCGAACAGCGAACGAGTGGCGCCTGGGATGTTTTTGGCGCTCGCAGGACCTTCGAGGTGGCGGACCCCTTCGTCGACCTTTCCTTGGCGTCCCTGGCGCAAGAGCACGACCCGCAGAGCCTGGAGCGGGGTCGCCAGGGTCGCCGTCAGCTCAGATGCCGCGCAGAGGGAGGGCATGCTCCAAAGTCTGACGTGGCCGTGGGTCAACACAAATGGTACCATTTTGGGGTAGGTGCACCACCCATTTTAGTCTTTTGTAGTGGAGATTGGGATGTTCACTGGAGGTACGGGGTTTTGACGCATAGCCCCTTAGTTGCAACCATCACCTCAGATGGCGGGTTTCATTGAGCAATAGTATGAGCAAAGGTGGCACGCGAAAGGAACTAACACCCGGCTTATCAACAAAAACAAAACACAGAAAGACTGGCCGAAGATAGCTGTGGGTTTTGTTTCTTCTTGGACATCTGGGGCATGACCCTTCCGGAATCGGTGTTTTTTCTTTGAATTTACACCAGCCGTGTCATTTTGAATTTCCTCATTTTGGATTCTCATTCTATTTTCTCACAGACGAAGCGAGCAAGTATAAGTGAGTGAGCGACTGTGGAAAGAAACAACACCTTGGTCCAAAAAGTTGTTGAAATCACACCTGGGGGGTCAAGGTGTTTTTTTTTGAAATCACTCCTGGGGGCTCCCGGTGTGTTTCATTGAAATCACGCCTGGGGGGGGTCCTTTTTTTTTACGCCTGCGGGGGGGGGGGTTGGTGTTCAATTTTTTTACATCACGCCTGGGGCGTGATTTCAAAAAACAAGCACGGGACCCCAGGCGTGATTTCACAAAGAAACACCTGGACCCCCAGGCGTGATTTCAAAATACGTGATTCCAAAATAAATCCCCGGAGCGACCCTTCCGGCTCTGGTCCCTTTAAAGGGAAACCCACCAGTTGGACGGCTCTTTTGGTGGTTTTCCTAATGGTCCCATGTTCATCGGATCTTTTAGTCAACCCCAGATGTCCTTTTCAAGGAAAAGAAGGTCTCCCCCGGGAATCGATCCATTTTGGGGGAGGTCTGAAAAAGGGAAGGCCCTCCCATTTTGCGCTTGGGGTCATTCCCCAAGCAAAGCCCACTCGAAGTGCAGTCCAGGCGCGCGAAGTTCTCTCGCCAGGAGGAGGCGATGCACAGCCTGGCGCGGCAGCTGAAGGGTCCTGAGGTTCGGCTGTCGCGGCTGCAGCTGCTGCGCTGTGCTTTGGCGCGAAGAACACGGGGCTTGGGCGGCGCAGAATGGGAGGGCCTGCCCTTTTTCAGACCTCCCCCAAAACGGATCGATTCCCGGGGGAGACCTTCTTTTTTTCTTTTTCTTTTTGGGACATCCATTGCCCGTACTAACCTTCATCTACCGGGTTTTGAGAACATGACTCATGGAGTTGATCAATATTCCCGGCCCCAAATGACTATGGGTAACTTGTCCTGTTGAGTGGGGGAAAGTCACATCTCTTTTGGTGGTTTTCCCAATGGTCCCATGTTCATCGGATCTTTTAGCCAACCGCAGATGTCCTTGCACAAATGGGTGCCTTGTTCTGGGTACATCATTTCAATACCAAGTTTGCTTTTGACTCAAATTGGCCCCCACCATGCAACGGTTTCCTTTGGCTTCCCTTTAATACCAACCAAAAGACAAAAGAGAGACACCATTGTCGGATCCGGATTTTGGAGAAATACCCAGCTGGATTCGTTTTGGCTTCCCTTTCAAACCAGAAGGCTTTTTGTAGCTTGCACCAGTGAGACATGCTCATTTCAACAGAAAGCAGGTTGCGGGAGGGCCGAGATGTCAGTTAATTCATGTTGTCCTCATCTTTTCTCTTGACACACGACAGCTGATTTGTTTAGCTTCATTTCAATCGGACACTAGTCAAAACAAGTTGCCCAGGTGAAGTGGAGAATGAGCTTGATGGTGAGTGGAACAAGGGAATCAACAGCCAACCAATCGGCTGGAGGCCCCTACTCATAGTTCTAGATATCGCATGATATTAGATAGCACTGGCCACCCCTGACAGGGTTCCCTCAGTGTGGGAACAATGATTCAAGCTGGGACCAAACCTCAGCCTCGACCAACGACAGTGTTGCCCTTGCTGAGCGAGATTGGTTGCGATCAACGACTCCTATCAGTGTTTCTCAAAATGGTGGACCCCCGTTTGGTTGGCATGTTCACCTGGAAACCCAAAGGCAGTCCACCATTTTAGAAAGACCGAACAGCAAGCCACCCATTTGCAGGGTTCCCCCTATTCAGAGACACCCATTTTGACAAACCCATTGGGCGGGTTCTAGAAAGTAGATGGCGATTCCTGATGGACCTAGTTGTTTCATCCAGGGAAATCCGTTTGGGTATGGGTCAAAATTAAAGAAAGGCAGGGGACAGCAAATTTTACTCCATGTTTCCATTTACCAGGGTTCCATTGGGTACTCGTGTTTGCCCCACTGGTTCAACCAAATGGACACCTGGAGGTTGACCCAGAAAAGGATTCGACTTCCACCACA